ACATGGCAGCCTCAGGTAGAGTACATTATAGTAGGCTCATTGGTATTTTACTAGTGCATTGGCTAATGTGGTTCTGTCCAGGAAAGACTGTAACTATTGCACCAATCAAGCCTGATGCCAAGTATGCCAGTTGGGCATGTAGTGGCAAAAATGGATCTAGGAGTTCTTGCAAGCTATATCTCTATCCCTTCAGGAGAAATGCAATCCCTTCCAAAACAGGCTGTTTACCCAATTTCCAGAACTGGGAGGCACCAATCCTTGAAGCCTGAAATGTGTCCAGATTATTTGTTTCCTTAATTTATGGGAATGAATGCAGCACATTAAAACACATTACCCTAATATGTTATTTTTCTTATTAAAAGGGCCCTAATCTTGTTGCATTTTTGTAATTAAATTGAGCTGGCTTTCTATGACCTGAATAGAGCATGAAGTCCCCAGAATATGAAGCAAACCTTCCTTCTTATCCTTAATTTACTCCTGAACCATATCTTCCCCTCTATCTTTGCTTCACAACCCCCTTGGATCCCTAACATAAAAATGATTGTAAAAAGAAAGGAGGTGAGATTCTCTTACTACTCAATCCAAGAATCCCAATAGCACTGCAGTGCAGAGAAATGCTAAGCAACTACATGATGGGGTATCTAAATAATAGTTTAAATTATATTTCCTAGTTTATGTAATGCTGTTCTGAAACCATCACTACTGAGTTTAATAATGAAAATAAAATGACGTTCCCTAAAGCTATGAACTACATTTTCATAATTGTATTAATGAATCTGGTTTTTTTAATGGCTCCCATCACCAAACCAGATCCAAAATACTAGCTGCTTTTAAATGAGGGGGGAACTGACATTTTTTTAAACAGAGCTACAGGGCAACTCAATCCAAAATAATAAAAATTGTAAATGTTGGCTAAAGTCTAAATTAAATATGAAACTACATAAAGCTTTCATATTCCTTAAACTTTATATCCAAATTCATATTTAATATTGCAGGGATGCTAAGGGAATAATGTGGTTGCCAGTTTAATAGCAGCTATGATCCAGCTACTTGAAAACAGTCAAGTCTTGTTTCTCAAGTCTTAAAATCCTGAGACACAAGACTTTATCCTTATTATGATAACTTTCTCCCAGTCTCAATGAACTGTTGGTAAAATCCTCTCCAGGGGGATGGGGCATCTTGGGCCCAGCAGATGGTTTAGACTACCTTAAGGCCTTTGTAGACTGCCAGAAATAGTGCACATTAAATTGAGGCACTGCCCTGGCTCAGTGCTAGGGAATCATGGGAACTGTAATTTATTGTGGCACCAGAGCTCTCTGACAGAGAAGGCTCAATGTCTCAAAAAAAAAAAAAAATACAATTCCCATGATTCCCTAGCACTGCCTCAATTTAATGTGCACTATTTCTGGCAGTCTGCAAAGGCCCATGGGCACTTATTTTTAGCCACATTGAATTGAGTTGTTGAGGTTGAAGTCCAAAACATCCAAAGAACCAATGATTATTTATTCCTGAATTTATCTAAGGTAAAGTCTCTTTCACTATGATGCACATCAGTTGGAACACTCTGAAAAGGGGAGTCTGATTGTTCACTCAGGCTGCATCCAGACTGCAAAAATAATCCAGTTTGACACCACTTTAATTGCCATGATTGAATGATATGGAATTCTGGAAACTATAGTTTTGAGAGACCTTTAGCCTTTTCTATCAGAGAGCCACAACAAACTTCCAGTTCCCAGAATTCCATAGCATTGAGCCATGATAGTTAAAGTGGTATGAAACTGGATTAATTTTGCAGTGTAGGTGCAGTCTAAAGGGGGAAAGGGATACCATCACTTGCATCGGCACAAAGGACTCGAACGCATTAAATTTGGGTAAAACATTTTGGCCACAACTTTGTTTGTACAGGGTCATAAAATATAACAGTTTACAATTAAATCAGCATTTGGAATAAACCTTCAAATATATTCTTGTCGCATGCATTCATGCGATTAATTATAATCGCTATTGTTTAATTATCTTCAAATAGA